TGGATGGATGGATGGATGGATGGATGGATGGATGGATGGATGGATGGATGGATGGATGGATGGATGGATGATGAAATGTCCAGAGCCGAATGCTACATTTTGATCTGAATGAAGGTAGAGCTTCTTATAATTCTGACCCAAACCTTACACACTGTCACTGAATAATAAGATGCATTCTTACTCTGCAACATCTGATTCTAGGGCATTTAATCCCCACCCCCCACCCCAAATGTACACAGCCCAAAGACCAGAGAATATTCCACAGTCAGAAATTATTCCCCCCACTTGCTTGTCATCGCTATGATATCAGATGTCCAACTGGTGGCAACTAGGAACTGATGGCCCCCTGCTCTGAACTTGGTCTCCTGCCTTCCCAATTTTGCAATTGTTGGGGAAGGGACCTACAACTCTTCATTGTTAGGGTGGAGTATTTAAACTCTTGCCATTCAGTTCCTCCTAAATCAGGATTAAGTTTGGAGGAAATACTCAGTATTCCATACCCTTCCTTTTAATATGGCCGCTTCTAACCTCTTCCATTTGTCAGTGTATTCTAATTTATCTTACAGTATAATTCTGTAATTCCATTGGCCCATGAAATTCATGGCCATTGTTGACTATACATAATGTTCACCGTATGGGAAATATTCTTGAATTCTTAGCCCAGGAAGGCAAATATGATTTAAGAGATGTTACAGAGCCTTGCTTGGATGGCTTCCAGGGCTGGATTTGAAGAATACCATTTGTTCGAAAGGCACATAAGCAGTGGAAAAGGAATTGGACAGGATGTTAAAAATATCCACTCCAACTCAGAAATTCAAATGAATGAACTTGGTGATAGTGTAGAACACATCTGGGTTAAAGTAAGTAGAGGAATGAATAAAAGCATTATTGTGTTGCTTACAATTGCCTGTCCAACCTAGGAGAAGATGTAGAAGATTCTTCTCAGCAGCTAATTTCATTTTGTTCAAAGGTGCGTGAAATAAGAGATGGGGGATTTTAAATATGTCAGCATCCGTTGAGAGACAAACTCTGGCAAGCATGGTCCTTCCTGGAAATTATTGACTTGTCTTGCTGATGGTTCTTCAGAGGGGAGGAGGATGGCCCAAAGGGATCAATTGCTCTTGACTTGATCCTAATTGAGAGGAATTAGCTGGGGAAGTGGAAGTAGCAAGAACATGGGGGGAAAAGTGACCTATGATATTGGAATTGCTGATTTTAAGGGAAACTGAGGCTGAGTAGATCAAGGACATAGGCTGAACTTCAAGAAAGCAGATTTGAATAAATTCAGAGTGGTGATAAGTGGTGTTCTGTGGCAGAAAACTAATGGGAAGAGCTGCTGTAGATGGGGAAAAGATGCTTAAAGTTTGCAAACAGTTCCTGTGATGAAAAAATGGAAGTCTGGAGAAGGAGCCAACAGGGGCTGTACAGAAAACTTTAGTGAAGATCTGAAAATGAAAAGGGACGCTTGTAGGTAGTAGAAAAAGAGACAAGTCACCAGTGAGAATACACCCATGTACAGTAGTACAAGATGATGTCAGAAAAGATAAAGCTCAGAATAAATGGTAATTGGCAATATGTGTGTGTGGGGGGGGGGAATCTTTGGGTAGGTACACAATAAAAAGAGAAAATAATATTCCAATAATATGAAGATGGCAAAATACTAATGGGTGAGAAAGAAAAAGCAGAACTACTCCATTCATAGTCCTTCAGTCTTCTCTGAAAAGATGATACATGTACCTTGACAATTTGAAAAGCAGGAACCAAGGGACATTAAAGCAGTTGCGAAGGGCCAAACTGAAGCTTCAGACTATTCAAATCCATCAGAGAATACTTACTTTGTTTGAGTTTAGATCCCCCAGGCCAGAGGACCAAAAGAAGTTGCAGATGGATAGGCTGAACCTTACTGTGTGGTTTTGGAAATCTGGACTGGAGCAGATTCATTGTTGTCTCTGTCTTCAAAAAAGAGGATCCAGAAAACAGTGTGAACACTGACACCTGGGAAGATTCTGGAGCAGATCATAAAACGATGGTTTTCCAAGCATTTGCAGATCAATGGAGTGACATTTTGATTAGCAAATTTATTAATCACCGACTGGAGGGCATAACAATTACGTGGCTATCGTTGGCTTGAAACATCATACTGAAAGCGATCAGTGGTTCCCCAGTAAACTGGAGAGAGATATAAACTGACTTTTTGGCAGCTGCCTCAAAGCAAAATTAATTTTTTTCCAAGCAAGATTCTCAGAGTCTTCTTTAGCAGGATTTATTGAGATGAAAAGAATGAGGTTACAAGAATTTTGGCAACTGAACTAGTTCCCATTTAGAACCAGTTTTGTCAGAGTATCTTTCTAACAGTCCTCCTATAATATGGAAAGGAGGTGGATCTTTTCATTGATAACTGAGAACTTGCAGCTAGCTATTTAAATAGCTTCCTCCCCAGTCTTTATCAGTCTGGGAATTCACCATTACAAATATTCAGCAGAGTACCACAAGGATTAATTCTAGATCATCAGTTCTTCAGTATTTTCTGTGAATGGTTGGAGGAAGGAATGCTTATCAAATTCATAGTTAACATAGAGTTGAGATAAGTAATATCCCAGAAGCCAGAATAAAATTCAAAATTTTAATTTAGATTCTTGCACTGCATAGAGTATTAGATTCAATGCTATAATTGAACCCAGCCAACTCCACATTTATTTCTTTGCTTTTCAACAGTGGCTCAGAACAGATCTTCAGATCATCAATTTCAGCATTGCAGCACGGAACACTCCTGTCCTGCACTACACTTACAACAATCCTGGTGGCTTTATTCTTGCAAAAAGTGAGCATGTGGTGTCCAATGCTGGATGAGAACCCAGGGAGGGAGATTATAATATTTTGGACGTATCTCCTCCTCCGCGGCTATTTGTGCTGTTGCACAAATGTAATGCACTACAGCCATGAGTGCGTCCAAATTCTTACAGCCGGAGTTGATTGTACTTCACAGTTCTGAGTGTAACTTTTTACATTGCTGAATGTGAGGCATTTGGTGGTGCTCGGGCCTGATTCCAATTGCCTTTAGAAGTTGGGCACAAGCAGAACCCTTCTCCTGAGATTTGGCTTAGTGGTTGCATATATCTATGATGATTGCACCTCAGCACTGACTTGCAGTTTTCCTGCACCACGATGAGGAGTCCACCATTTTTGAACAGTTACTATAGCAGCATAACTGGGATTCTGTACGGAGTGCAACTCTTTGCTAAAAAAATGGTTATTTCTGTTTTTCTGGATGGTGCTGAGAAGGATTGATGGTTTGCAGATGTGAAGACATCTTCAGGTTAGGTCTTTAAAATTGCAATGAAGCATCTTTTCACCTAAGAGTACAGGTAATGATTGTTCGTTTAAGGAGGGTTTGAAGTTACAACAGCCTTGGAAAAACTGCTTTACAACCTGTACTTGCACTTAAAACCATAGCAAACTGTCGCACCACCCCCATGGTCACATGATTGCAATTTGTGACCTTTTTTACAATGGTCGTTAAGCGAATCACTGTAGTCATTAAGTGAATTCTGGCAAAAAATGTCCATTGGGGAAGCTGGATTCACTTAATGGCCATTGTGAAAATGACCATTATGAAAATGGTCGTAAAATTGGGTCTGGTCATGTGATGACTTGCGTAATGACCGCCCTGCTTAACAACCAATTTTCTGATCCCTATTGTGGTTGATAAGAAAGGACTACCTGTAGTTGTCATCCAGTAGAAACATATATCAGATGAACACCATAGCTTTGTTGTAAAAGCTTCTTTTACAGCAAGACTTAGAGTTGGAACCTTCTCTAGATCTAGATCTTACCCACATATTTATATTAGTTATTTTTATTTATGCAATTTCTCTACAGCCTCAATCCACCAGTCATCAGAAATCTTTGGAAGGATCTCTTCCCCAGCCATGAGCTTTATTTATCTCATGATGTCTCCCAAAGCACTGGTTGGGACTGCCTTCAAACACTAGTTACCCAAGGCCATTTTCTCCCTGAACTTTCCCCAAAGTGTGAAGCTACAGTTTCTCCCTGGGAAGAGTGAACAGTTCTCCCTTCCATCATCAGCTCTGCATTATCTCAAAGAGAAAAGGGGTGGACAAAGTACAGAGAAAACACAATTTGCACCAGTGAGGAACCTTGTCAAGGTTGCCTGTGCCAGATGAGATAACCTAGTAGGCCAGATTTAGTATATGGGCTGAAGGTCATACTCCACCTCTCTTCTAACACGTAAGTCGTCCTTCATTTTAGGGCCCTATCTTTATTGGCGCATCTCAGAAGTCATAAACAATGTGTGTCAGATTTTCCAGAACTTTTCAGTAGGCCAGAAGATAGAGAAAGTGCAGATGAAGGGAAAGCTGTCTGTGGCTGAAGCTATGGAATCTCTGTGTCATCAAACTAAATTAGATTCTATGGTTTGAATACTGGCCAGCTTTTTTATTTTCCCCCATCCACCCCTTTCACTGGTTTTTTATTTAGCTTGATTATGAATCTTGGCTTGCTCAGAAGTTTGCACTCTCTTTTGTGATACTTTAATGTATTAGGAACCGTTGATTCAGGTGGATTGAAGTGTGTCAGAAACATAGAAAGGTAGGGTTGGAAGGAGCCACAAGGATCATTTAATCCAACCTTCTGCAGTTTGCAGGAAAACCATTTAAGTCATCCATGAAAGGTAGTGGTTCAGCCTCTTCTCAGAAACCTCCCGAGATGGAGAACTAGGCGGACCCTTCCACTGATGTTCAGATCTTACCATCAAAAGGCTTTTCTTTCTATTTCAATGAAATCTAGGTAGCTGAAACTTCACAAATTGTAGAGAGGGAGATTCCTCCCTTTTTTTCTGATGTACTTCTAGGAATATCTGTTCTTTTATCTGAAGATATTATCTTGTGCTTGGCTTTTTCCTTCTCAGATGGCTGTGAAGTTTGCAAACTTTGGGTGGCTTTCAAAGTCATTACGCATCATTTGCACCAATCGTCATACAGGGATGGGAGTCTCAAGGGGCAGAATGCTTTAGGACAAAACGCATTTTTTGCCAGCCACACAAGGCCTCCTGCTATTCAGTTTATTGGGAACATTCAGCCATTTCTTACCCTAAGGTTCATAATCCTTTAAGCCTTTCAGGTAGAGGCAGGCGCAGGCGATTGTGCTGCAGAGAAAGGAATGGTAACTAGATCTTGCCATCTAGAGCAAACCTGGTTACAAGTGCAAAGGTTTGCAGTCATCAATGGCCTAGATAGAACACTCTTTGCTTTAAAATTAAGCGTAGAAGTCAGCATGAGGTTATAAACCTAGGTACAAAGGCAAATGATCTGGAAATGTCAGACTATTGTATGTCCAAAGAAAAACATGCTGGTTTTCCTTTTTTCAAAGCGCCAACCAGAGTAGTGATGAGTCATTCCTATCTGCTTTAACTACAGAAAGAAGGGTGGGGGAGGAAAAGGATGGGTTTCTGGCAACTTCTCAAAGCTAATTTCTAACCTACAGAGACTCAAGTGGAGAATTTACATCAGTCTATTTCAGCACACAGGAGTGCATGACAGGGTTAGCAGAAATCTCCCCAAATATTTGGATCAAGAAGAGATCCATTGATTTAGTTCTGACAGCAGGACCGAGCAAAGGGAGATCCTCATATATTTATCCACATCATATAGGTGGAAATGGAGGCACCCAAAAATAGCTCACAGAAAAAAAAAACACAATTGAAAAAGTAAAGGAGACTTGACTTGCTTTTAATCTGTGAATCTGGTCCATAATACATTGATTGCTCTCCAGACTAGAGCTAGCTATGAAGCTTTCTGGGTGACTTTAAGCAGATTAATGTAATAGTAACCTATTCTGAGTAAATGGCCTTAGCCACACCACACTCTGCCCCACTTCCCCCTTTTCCATTTGCAGTTAAAAATAATGCCAGCTTCTCTTAGAAGATGGTGAGATATTTCAGAATTCTTTGGAACAGAAACTTTATTGTACACCACCAAGAGTCATGTTTTGTGAGATGGGTGGCCATATAAATATGATGGATGGATGGATGGATGGATGGATGGATGGATGGATGGATGGATGGATGGATGGAT